ACTGCTAACCTCACTTGGTTTCAGTGTAAAATGGGAAAAAGTGATTGAGCCATCGCAGCGGATTAAGTTTCTGGGAATCATCATAGATTCCGTTAAGTGCACACTGGAAATTCCAGCAGATAAGTTATCCAAACTCTTAAAAGACGTGGACATGTATAGAATGTCAAAAGCGATATCAAAAAAAGATTTGCAAAAGCTTATCGGCAACATGTCGTACGCCTCGAAAGCATTCTACAGTGCGAGAGTTTTTACAAGGTTGTTCATCGACGTTATGTCCAGTCTTAAACAGCCGCACGATAAATTCTTAATCGATGACGTTGTTTGCGCAGAACTTTCTTGGTGGCATAAATTTTCAACAGTTCTCAATGGACTGGTACCGTGTCCATTAGGTGTCCAATGGCCGGTCATAACGCTGTATACAGATGCGTCATTTTCCGGTTTCGGGGCCGCTTTGCGCGACACTTACTTTGCCGGCGCTTGGTTGCCGCTACAACCCCCAGTAGGTTTCTCCAATAACTGGTTACCGAGCCCACTCGTACACCCAGAATTGGTAAAAAATATCAATTTTTTAGAGCTTATAGCTGCTTGTCTGCCACTCTTAATATTTGCACCGCACCTTACCGGTTATAAGGTCCTCGTCTTGTCTGACAATACTCAGACTGTGGCCTTTTTAAACCGTGGTACAACAAAAAACTTGCATGCACTTAAGTGGCTTAAAGCCGTTTTTCCCATGAGCATTCGGCATAATTTCCGTTTTAGTTCTACTCATGCGTCGGGTACGAGAAATGTGCAAGCCGATGCTCTAAGTCGGATCACCGAAGGTGCCTGTCATGAGCAGCGTTTCTTACAGTACCGCCGATCAGATTTCCCCGGAAATCCATTACCTCATAATTTTGTTTTTAGCTATCCGAACATCCTCACTGGAAAAACGATTGAATCGTTTACGGACGAGTGCCTTAGCTCCTTCATCGTTTAAGACCCGTCGTTCACAATGGGCCTGTTTCGAAAACTTTTGCCGTGATCACAGGTTAAATCCGCGACCGGCATCTGTCGAAACAATTTGTTTATTCATCGCGTTTTTGTCTAAATCAAAGCAGTTTAGCACTATCCTTAACTACGTGCATGCACTACCCTCCTACCATACTATGTATGGTTTTGATTCACCCAGTTTAAAGCATTCCTCTATACGGCAAACGTTGAATGGTGTTCAACGAAGTTGCGAAGAGTTACCTAATAAAAGACTACCGATCACTGTTGATCACTTGCTTGCAATCTACTCAAGCTTGTCAGCAATACATCGGCAGTATCGCAAATCATTTTGGGCGGCTTGTTTAACCGCTTTCTACTCCTTGGCACGTAGCTCAAATCTTTTTAAATCTCCTTCTAACAAGCATCTTCTGTGTAAAAATATTACCTTTACTAACAACGGCGCCTTACTCGCTGTTAAAGTTTTGAAAACTAATCGATTTCGCAAAGCGTGCATATCTGTGCCCATACCACAGTTGCGCCAAGTCAATCGATTATGTCCCGTCAGGGCTATACGAGACATGTTAGCTGAAAACAGTGCACCTTCCATGGCCGCTTTGTTCAGCTTCCGCACTCGTTCAGGGATAAAACCCTTATCTTCTTCCAGGTTTAATGGATTACTCCGGATTGTACTACGGGCAGCAGACCTACCCTTTCGGCGGATATCAACACATTCCTTTCGTCGTGGCGCCGCCACATATGCAACAGCCTTACACTTACCCGCAGCAGTATTGAAGGCTCAAGGGAACTGGCGCAGTACCTGCTTCGAACGCTACATCCATCATGACGTAGACATGCGCCTCACGTTTGCCAACGCCTTTGCCCCTGCCATCCAAAATGTGCGGCACGCTTAAGAATCGCGATCCTTCCATGACCTTTTGGTCTCCCCATTGGTTTGTTTTATGTTTGTTGGTTTGTTTTGTTTTGTTTTTTTTGCGATTTTTGGGGATTCATTGGTTTGTGACCTTAACGATAGCATTGTTTCGATGTGTGATTAAACTCCGAACAGTACAGTCGCCTTGCTGTTATGCGTAGCTGATGCAATAATCACTGACATAAACGTGTATAAAGCACGCAGACTAAACGCTATAGACAACAAGATCCGTATCGTTCGGCCGTATCCGTAGTTGAAGCAGCGCGGTATTTGGGGAGATGGTTGGGAGATTTACTCATTAGCCCGTCTAAAGCCGCCAAGCTAAGATGGTTGTCCGCCACCAACGGGCCAATCAGGTCTGCTGTATAGGCACACATTTCCGGCACATCCACGCAGATTTTTATCCAGTCGCGACCAAAATTAACAGGTTTCCTTGTATAACATAAGACGTGCTCGGGACAATTTCCTCACACATTTGAATTAACAACCCAAACACAAAAGCGTTGTTTGCGATTCTAAGCCAGTATAACTGCAATTCGAGTTATTTTCCGGAAGGATCCTGTGTTACATATTTCCGCTGCTATCATGGCCAACTTTGTACTGTTGCTGTGCTTGGCTGTTGTCTGCTACGCCTGCAGTGTGCAGTGTGAACAGCAGGCTACTCAAGAGCCTATAATGATAACGACCTGCTGTAAGTGTACTTGTCATGACGATTTTTAAGTGTATTTGTCATGCCTATTTCCCGTTGACGAAAGTGTCAGAAGATGTTAACGGATCAGCAGTTAACTTTTATTTGATGCAAACCCTTAATTGTCATGTTGACTGTGACTTGTAGTGGACTGTGGCCGTAGCCGATGTGCCGACGGCCAGTTCATGGTCTGCGGGGCCGGGGGCCGCTGCGTCTGTCCGGAGCCGAAATCGCACAACGAGGGCGGTCAACGTAAAAAGCGAGCGCAGTGAGTATAATTGTCTACACTAGATGCTTTATTCTAGTGCATACTGCGCAAACAAGCATTTCTCTATGAGCCGTGTGCTAGCGATTTATGCGCACTGGAGGATGTGTTCATGTTGTATACTGCTTTGTTGATCATGATTTTGGTTATTGTTGTTGAACTGTGGATCGTCAAGACGATTTCCAGTACATGAAGTCTTACATAAGCAGCGATGTTTTTTAATGACTGGAAATCTTTGTGTAGACTTCCGCTGCATATATCGGATAATTATAATTAATTTGTTATCGCTAATCACTGCTCTTTACAGTCGCCTGTAAGCACAACGTGTGCGATAACGGTCTCCTACGCTTCGACCGGCAACACAACAAACGCCTGTCTACAAGGCGGGAAACGGTTGCAAGGGAATAGCGGACGCCACTGTCCGGAGGTTGCCGGCATTCCGTTAACACGACTGATTTCATTTTTGGTGATGGGCATGCATAATTTTGCCGCTATTCTGATCGCATAAGCATCAATATTGATTATCGATGTGGCGTTTGCGCTTTCGTTGCCGGTACCGGTATCTTAATGCTAATGTTGCCGCCCGTATAAACGGCTGCTTAGAAAACCTATAAAAATATCCATGGATTTTTTGGGTGATTTATCAGCTGGTTGCTCCGGTTTTATGCATCCTGTATTTCTTATGCTATTGCAGTAAAAATATTTATCAATACTAACCGAATTCGAAAGATTCGGATTTCGGATACATAGTTCTCGTAATATCATCCTACTACTGTATGTATACGTATAACGAATATAGATATTAAGTATACTGATAATGAATAACGCGGTATTTGGTATTACCATTTTGGTAACCTTATCGAAGTACAATTATAATATGTATGTGGTAACAATCAAACGATGGAGCAGAGGGTTCTGTGTAATATTCATCTCCATACCTGTTACTCCATATTACTGTTAATAGAAAATTACATAAAAAAGCAAATGATCGAATATGCGGTATTAAACGGCTTAACCGGACCTATTTTCTCAGAGTATCATAAAGGTTACAAGAAGCACTTAAGTGTACCTGGATCTGTCATGTTGTTGTTGCTGGAACAAATCGTATCAGGAATCGCAACATATTTTTATCAGTCCAGTAACAATCATCAACGCATTCGATTCTGACTACAGCTGATAACTTATGCAGAGTCATTTTGTGTGCTTTTATATTTCGAGTACGTTAGGATGAAAATTTCTTGGTACTTGTATGATCGTTGTATCGTTATTGAACTTATTGTCGCCAGCCTTTGCCGCCAATTGCGACCAGGGACCAACTGTACTTGTACGGGTTTAACGGCGTCGTATGTGCCGGTCCATGCAGGCTGCTTCTTTCAGTAAAGTGAGTACATTATCGCCTGTTAAACCAGTAAGCTTACCTTTGCCGCTGGTATGCATGTGCATGTAATTCTACTGTAACTTTTTCAGTTTTGTAAATGTACATAACTAAATCCGTGGAACATTTTCATTTGGAAAATAAACGTACTCTGCGGTAATTTTTACTGTCCTAAGTGTCCTGACACAGGAAAAGCACGATGTACACAGTACCGTGTTCCGTAGTTGCAGGCGGAAGTAAAGTGTCACCGCCATTGAATGCTGCCATAATATTAATACTAAGGAAAATGGCCCGGTACATAGTGTCGAAAATGGGATACATGCACTAGAACTTCCGTTTTCGCGCACTTCAAATCGCGCACTTTTTTGTAATACTTTGTTTTAATGGCGAACGTTATTGCCACTATAGTTCACAACAAAACACTATTGCCACCACAGTCCACATCATAATAATATTTGGCTAATGGCACTACAAATAATTAAGCTTTATAATGACATAAAGTGTTACAAAAAAGTGATTTGAAGTGCGCGAAAGCAGAAGTATAAGTGTATGTATCCCATTTTTGACACTATGTACCGAGCCATTTTCCTCAATAAATTATGTTAGCACATTTACTTACTTTTCCCAAGTGCACAGTACACAGTACTGCCGTATTCAAAAGCCTCGTACATAATTTTTGTAGCATTGCTGGCTACATAGAATGCACATATGCAGATTTCTATCACTTCGCTGATTTTTATCCAGTCGTTACCAAATAGGCACCTTTTTCTAAGATGAACATGTATGAATCATTTTCTTACAACAACAGCTAGACACGATTGCCTGCATTGCAAACGAGCATTTTCTGTAGGTCTCGTGTTATATTTCGGAAGCGGTGTTGCCTCGATTTCCACTGCTAACATGGCCAACGTTGCTCTGTTTTTATGCTTGGCTGTTCTCTGCTATGTCTGCAGTGTTCAGAGTGAGGAAACAACCCAAGAGCCTATATTATTGATAAACACCTGCCGTAAGTAATTGTCAGAATGTCATGGCTTGTTTTCTTTTGACGGTAGAATATCAGTAATTAATTAACCAAGAAATATTGACTGATTTTCTGTCTATGCATTGCAGTGGACTGCGGGCACACGATTTGTGCCGACGGCCAATTCCAGGCCTGCGACACAGCACGCGGTCGCTGCGTCTGCCCGACACCCCGCTCACCGGCCGAGGGCGATCGACGTGACAAACGGTCGCATCGCCAGCGGGGCGCGGCGTCCACGGAAGAGCAGACCGGCAAGCCGCCACGTGGCAGCGGTGCGGCATCCACAGAAGAAACCGGCCGGCGCGGCGGAAACCGACTCAGTGGCTGCAGTGAGTACAGTTTTCTCGATGTTAATCTCCGCTAACTGGAAATGTTTGTGCACACCAGAAAGCGCTGCATATATGCAATGAATTCAATATGGTATCGCTGATCTTTACAGTCGACTGTGGCTACAACATGTGCGACAACGGCCCCATGCGCTGCGACCGGCAAACCAATACGTGCGTCTGTAAACCAGGCGGAAGACGTATGTAAGGGAATAACGGACGCCGCTTGCCGGAGACTGTCGACATTTGGTTAACACACAAATGATTTTATTTGGATGACAGACATGGTTTCATGCTGTACTGCTCGCATAAGCAATTATCGTGATTACATTATCATTTTGCGCTTTACTGTTTCGCTTTGGCTGTCCTCCTGTACGAGCGATTTAAATGCAAGTTAAGTTTAACTGATGTTAAATTGTCGCAGATTTGAATCCCTGTGTAGTTGTTTCCCTGTTCATCCCGGCACCGGCAGTGTGCCGTGTGCATCTTGCTTTCTATGCGTTACCGTTTGTGCTGCATTCGCGGTTTTCCTTCGCTGACTAACACTACTGCACTTTTAAATTTACTACCCACCCGCCCAACTGGGCATCATGCTTGTTCTCTTTATACGCTGTTTCTCGATTTTGTTGTTACCGTTTATGTCATTCATCAATAAAGGGGGGCGAAGGGACCGGGCACGGGCGGAAGGTGCCGGCAGTGAGCAATCTGTACCGCACGGTAAGATACTCAGCTGTAATTGCGCACTTCCGGTCATGCCGGTACACTTCAAACCTCACAAACCGCACGCGGGGTCCATCTTTCAATGACTGCACCGGATCCTTAGATGCAAATTCGCGTACAATTTTAATTAGCGATAGATTTCTGGATGATTCATCAGTTCTTTGCTTCTCCTATAAGTATTCGCATGTTTTTTCTTTTATTCCAATAAACTCTTTAGCTAGCAGTTCTCTTTGGTAGATTATCCAGTACGTAGTATCAGCGACAACGCCCGGCTATTTGCTGCATTATTATACACAGCCATTTTATAATACTTTAATGTGGCACGATGCAGCTGCATGTGCGTAGTATACATGTACCGTAATTTAATTTAATTTAATTCGCTTCAGAACAGGTAGGCCAATTCCGGCTAGGGTGACAGTCCAGCATGAAAAGTGGCTGAATACTTCTATAGATATTCCTAATTTTTTACGTCGCCGTTAATTTTTTTTTTGTTGCGCGAGTGTATAGCGCAAGCGTGTTCTGTGGGTCACGAGCGGCATGCATCATGAATTATATACATATTTATCATCATAACGGGCGTGCTTAAAATGGATACAGTTGCGGATGCGGTTGAATGCGGTTGGTTGTTGTGGTTGAGTGCAGGATAGTTTGCTGTTGTGAGTAAGTCAAAGGTTGTGGTTTGACGATAACAAGCAAATGATTGAGCGTGAAGAAAGGAATGAATCATTGTGTAAACCAAAAGTGTTCCTTTGTTGTCTGCAATGTTTTATCTCTCGTAACATGTATTAAGTGCCTGGCTAAAAAGTAGTGGGCGATGAAGTTGTAAAATGATTTAGTACATCTCCATCCAGCCTCGGAACAACTTCTCTTGGAATATCTGCCTTTATCTTTGCATGCCATTTTGTTAGCATTCGAGTGTTGTCTGCTAATCTGCATTAAAGGTCATTGGGTCGAGTCAGCCGCTGTTGTTTTTTGTCGTTCTAGTTAGCGGTAGAGAAAGGTTACATCCACCGAGTCTCAGCTAACCTTTAGTTACGCGACAATGCCGCATCATGACCCACATAACACGCTTGCGCTATACACTCGCGCAACAGCCGGAACACCAAGAAATCGAGCAGCGGTGCCCAGTTGGCAGAAACTTTGAAGCGCCGGTAGTTTGTCTTGGAAAATGGAGACTGTTCCAACCTTACCAGTAGTTGTTGAAACATTAATGGGAGAACTGAGTTGAATTTCTAAATTTTACGGGTCAGATAATTCGTAGTTTAATAGAAGGGTGTTTCACTGAATTTTGGAGCAGAGTTTCAGTTTTGTTTCTTAATGTTTACAGTTTGACTATGTATATGAGAAGGTAGTGTACCGGTGTTTGCAGCTATTGGCTTTCTTGTGGTTAATAACCAGTTTACGGAACTTACATCCGCACCAGATTTCGTGGCGTACACTAGTTTCGATGCAGGTTTATTCCGGCCACTCAAGCAAACTTAAAAATATAATAAATCAGAGAAAACCTCAGAAAACATAGCAAAATTAAGAAACACGAGAATCTGAGAAAATATAAGAAACTTAAGAAACCTAAGAAACCTAGGAAAACCTGGGAAACCTAAGAATCTGAGAATAATAAACAGAAAAAATCTAAGAAGCCTAAGAAACCTAAGAACAACCTAAGAAACCTAAGAACAACCTGAAAATCTAAGAAACCTAAGAAACCAAAGAAAAATACAGATCACGTTAATCCTCAGGATGATTTATTTTATTTGGACTCATTTTCCGCATTTTTCAAGAATTGTAAGCGAAGCGATGCCGAAGGGCGCGGTTTGCCTCTGTCGCTCCGCATTAGCCTATATTCGTCTATGGCGGCCCATGGCAACAGCTTGTTTTTTGGGGTTCCTGCTTCCCCTTTGGGGCGAATCGATTCCGCTGTTGCGTATAAACCTTCGCGCCGTTTCGACGGTTCTAACGCACTTGGCCGCGTTGAAATCGGCCCAGCGGTTCGCCCGATCATTGCGCCCGTCGTCAATCGTGTATAGGAGTTACGGATGAAAGTACTGTAGCCAGTTTACGGAGGACTACATCCGTAATTAATTCGGCGGCGTGAGGTTTGCTAATCGGTTTCGTATTTCGGCGATTCATGTTCGCTTCTGTCCGTGCCGAGGCGGCTAGCGTGCTTTACTTCACTGCATTAACTACTCTACTAAATAGTGCTGTGTTTGGAGCTAGGTCCGAAGCCGAGACGTGCAGGCCCATGGCAACAATTTGTTTTTTGAGGCTCCCTTGAGACGCACCGAGTTGGCAATAGTGCAAGATTACCCGCGTGGTTGCGACGATTCTGACGCACTTGACCGCGTCAAAATCGGCCTTACCGTTGGGTCAAACATTAGAACATTAGCCTATGCCGTCACGGTTGTTACGGATGTAGGTAATAATTAACTGTTAATGTACGTACTGTATAAATTATACTTTTGCTGTATTTTCATTTATTTCTCATCGTGATTTTTTATGGGTTAGCACTTAGCACATTCAACTTGAAAATCATAGGCACTGGGTTGTCAGATTGTACAGTTGTATTAACGTAAGTACTTTTACGTTGCCACAACAGACTCCGCGACTAACGGCGCATCCACCGGATCCGCCAACGGTTCATCGAGACCATCCATCGCGACTGCCAGGGCCGGTACATCTCTCGGCCTCGCCACATCCCCGGCCGCTTCGTCCGCCTCGGGGCTCTTATGCCACTGCATACCACTGGAGACCGCGCAGGCATACTGCTCATCGCGGGCGCGGGCGGCGCTGGCATACTGTCCGTACTGCGGATCCGGGCAGCACACCCAGTCCGTGGCACTACAGCGGATCAGCGGATGTCTGGGCCACGGACAACCGGTGGGGGACGTTTGAGCGGGCGGAGACTGCGAGGGACAGACGGCAATGTGGGGGGGATGGGGGCGGCCAGGAGCAGGGGAAGACGGGAAGTTGGTGGGGCGGGGCCAGTGGAGTAGGCGGGGAGCGGGGGATCAGGGCAGCCAGAAAAACGAAAAGCACGGATAAGTGCTGGGACATATGGCGGAGGTAGGCGTAGTACAGAGTGGAGGATTAGTGCAGGATATTACTGGATTCGGTCGAATATCAGAGTTATTACAGGAAAAGAACCCGAAGGCAAAAACTCAGTGGGATACTACTCGTACTATATATGTACTCTACTAGTACTTACCTTCTACGTCCCACAGTACCTATCCATGATTCGGTTTAATATTATCGTTTTATTCCTTTGCCAGGTTCAGAATAACGATAAGATTAGTATTTTATATACGAGTAGTATAATACGAAAACAGTTTTGAAGATCCTAATACAGAACTAAGTAATTCATTCCCATATTGTTTACGTACTAATGTCAAATGTCAGTATGATTGATTTAATATGTACCGATCCTTGTTGAAGTAAGCACCTAATGCCAACAATTCTGTACTTACTAATAAATTTTTACTTATACATAATTTATTTCTTTGCAGTGGATTGGTTGCACATTGCAGAATTAAAACTTTTAATATATTGACTGTACTGTACTGTAACTCGTTAATGTAGCAATACTTAATACAGATTATTGTATGTTAATACAGCAACTGTATTGACATTTAATATTTTTTCCGTACACACCCATCCATTGTAATACAGTCATAAAATTCATTTACAGGATATATATCTAAATTCGTGCAATTCTATTAAGAATGTGGTATGCACTTGTGTTCTGTTCCTTCTTTGTTGTGGGGCATTAAGAAACGTCTCCCTCGTCCATATCCGTTCTATTCCGCATCCGATATGTTCCACCGATTTCCACGTGTTAATCACGGACCGCTGAATTATGTAGAACTTCCGAAAATTTTCGCTAACACTTCCGAAAATTTTTCAACAAAAAGAGCGCAGTAGGTTTTAATGTTACGGAAGATGCCAATATTATAAATTAAAGCGGATAAGAAATCATAAAAATGGGAATTTTCATTCATCCATTCATTTCATTCATTCATTGAAATTTTCATTCATTCGTTTCTTTTTCGTTTTCACTCAAATGCATGATATCGCCACTTGCCAGGGCCCCAGTCATGCCGGTAAGGTGAATCAGCGTATCCGTGGCGCTGTTCAGCAATGCCAAGCCGCCAACAATGGTTTTCGAGTTTAATATTAAATATTTTTAGGTGCGGCCGACTGGTCGCTTGGCACTTTTTTCGTTCTGCACTATAACTATTCCATATTCCCTTCCCAGCAAGGATTAGAGCTTTATAATACATCCAAAGGAATCTGCAGCCCAACAAATGAAGTGCTGCATTACGCAGTATTGCGCGTGTACATACAGCATATACAGTGTAAATCATATACGTACAGCATATACAGTGTAAATCGCCTTTATGCTGCACCAAAGTAAAAGTCCACCTTAATTTAACATCAAAAGTTTAGCCAGCCTGGTTTATTGGTCTGGTGGTCCGACGGAAATGGATTTAATTTTAAAAATGGATTTAATTTGTTCACTATTCGCATTCCGTTAAGCAAGTAACAAACATATCGTGTTAGCAGAGTAGCAGTAGCCGATAATGGTTTGGCAAAAATGTACGGGTGTTTTGTGTATGGCTCCGCAGATCCAGATCATTTTGATGATCCTTATCCAGTCGCCAGCAAACAGGCCTGGCCATGGATGCTTATGTAACTTGGTCCTAGACAATTTCCTACTTTTTCTAGCGACTGCAACACTGCGAAGCGTTATTGGTGCATCAGTATTAATGTTTAGCGTCGTGCTGCACTGTAAACTCTATTGCTGTTTCTAAGAAAAAATCCAATGCCACCATGGCTAAGGCTGTACTGCTGATATGTTTCTCCATTCTTCTGGCCGCATGCATAGTCCAGTGTGCTCCCAAAAAAACCGCTCAAGACGGGGTGCTGTAAGTATATTTTAATACATTATTAACTTCTGGTCTGCGTCGGTAGCTTTTGCAGTGATGCGTGCAGTCAGCGCAAAAATAGTAGGGTTAATGGTGCTGTTTTGTCTACGTGCAGTGGACTGCGCTTTCGGAATATGTAGCGACGGACAACACCAGATATGCGACACGACACTGGAGCGTTGTGTTTGCCCGCCCGCCCGGTCCCCGGCCGAGGGCGGTCGACGTGATAAGCGAGCGCATCGGGGAACAGCGTCAGGGGAAGAAGTGACCGGAAAACCCCGGGGCAGCGGTTGCTGTAAGTGCAAATCAGTTTAAAACGAATTATGCGTTTCACTGCCGAACTTACAACGCCGCATATTATACTTCGACAATTTTGTCATATTTTAATCGTTCTAGCTGTACGTTCTTCTAAAGCCCTCACTAACGAATTATTATAGTCTTTCGAGAAAAACGGGATTATCCAGAATATTGTTTATTTTACCTTATGATGACAACGGTTATAAATTTCGAAAAAAATGTACAGAATAATAAAATTAATATGGTCGTCACTTCACCGAAAGGCAATGATACCCGTACTGTAATACGCTAGTTTTGGATTTTTGATTTTTCAGATGACTGTGGCTATGTCATGTGCAACAACGGCCGCATGCGCTGCGACCATGCGCGCGATGAATGTGTCTGCCCTCCTGGCGGATATCCCATGTAACTGGCTTGGCTCGTTAAAGTGTCCCGTGGACTGCGCGTGGCCACCCTTCGTATTTTCGCTGACAACGTCAATAATCTTCTTCCGCGGCAAATTATATAGCTGCACTTGCAAGCGACAATATTTTTGAAAAATTATTCATGATGGTTATACGGTGTTTGGTTTGATGCCGGTGGCTATTTTCTGTCTTTGTTATCGCTCGCGATTGGTCGTATAAATCGCGGGCGCAATTTTCACTGATACCATTATAATCAATTATAGATTGTTTTCGCCTTGTTTAACGTCTACATGCAATTACAGAGTACAACTGAATGGTGCACGCTACAAAAATAATGCTTGGGATACATTACCCAAAGCAATAACAATTTAATAACGCTCAGGATTATTTTCTACTGGTTAAGTTTTGTAACCTTGTAATTACTTTCCACAAGCGGACACATTAGCTAGGCTTTGTGTCGAAATTGCCGAAATAAAACACCATCAGAATTATAAAATCATATTATTAAATGGTAGATCTATTATCATCTATACGGGTACATTTGTACGCATTGTACAGTACGTGTAACATTTATAATATTATGGTAGCCTTGATACAGTGATGCGATAAGAGATATTTTATATGCGATTAGCTAGATGCTCGGCGCTACCGTTGTAGTTCTTAATGCACTTACAACTACAAGTACAGAAATAGGTAGAAAGCGAAAACGAGTTCCACTGCTGAGACAATATAACGGTAATTCTCATATTCTCGTAGGTATAATTCTTGGGACTTTTTCTATTCCTACCATGGCCAACATTGCACTGTTGTTGCGCTTGGCGATCCTCTGTTATGCCGGCAGTGTTCAGTGTTTTCGCGAGGAAAACCTCAAGACGAGTTGCTGTAAGTCATTATGGTGATGTCACGATCGCGATCCGCTTACGGTCGGGGTGGAGTCAGCAGGGACACTGCCGGATGGCCAGCTTTACCTAGGTAGTATAGCAAAAACCGGTAATTGTTAAATTTGTGTACGAATTGCAGTGTACTGCTCGTACGGGATATGTGCCGATGGTCAGATCCAGATCTGCGACATGATGCTGAAGCGCTGCGTCTGCCCGCCCATCCGTTCCCCGGCCGAGGATGGCTGGCGCAAAAAACGGGCAACAACACAAGGTTAGCCTGATTCGTTGTAAAGGCATGTTTTCGAGAGCTTTATTGCTGATTTGAGAATGCGCTCGGAAAAGTGTTTCTGTTGAAAACTATTTTTCTGACATCTTTTGGAGCCTTTCCAGGTCGAACTTGTTGCAACGATTTGCATCGGTATCTGTTGTTCTAATTTGATCGGTCTGAATCCTGCTTCAATAGCGTTGTGGTAAGTTTGCGTTATTTACTGTTTTTCAGGTCCAAAGATCACAACAGAGAGTGAACTAGGCCCACAGAATTTCGTTTTGCCTACGGATAATATTAGACTGAAATGCATGGGCGGTACTGGACATCTTACGTGGAAGTACGAGAGTGGGCCACTACCCCGATTTTCCAGGCTAGAGTTTGTTTCTACTCAAAATGAGACACAGGGGCTTGAACTCGTCATGCGCCCGATCGGAGATAATGCTGGCGGGTACAGTTGTGTCGATGAGGTCAACAACAAGGACACGATTTACATGAATGTCATTAGCAGTAAGTGCCTGGTAAAACGTGCTCTCGCTGGTCAGAACATGGCGAACCAATTATAAAGTATACAGTGGACAGAGAACACTGTTCACCAAACGGCTACAGATCACTTCGGCCGTTTCCATTTCGGCCGTCATTCAATTTGGTCACCAGTCACTTTGGCTACAGTATATGTCGACAGAAATACGGTTACGTAGACGGTTGTTCCGCACCTCGCTCATGCGTTAAAAAGTAATGAAATTATCAGTTTCAGTTCTCGTTGCACCTGAATTCTTGTTCTTTGTTTCTTCTCTTCTGCACGCGCTGTTTCTGAGCACGTTTGACATACGTTACAGTTTCACTACCGTCTCTCTGTTCCACATTCGCTGTGATGAACGCGCTGTAGTTCCTAATATGGTCCATTCCAGGATGTCACACGTGAGGGATAAGAAAATGCAAAAAAATAAGAACCAAAAAACCTAAGAAACAATAAGAATCACAAAAATATAAAAGAGAACCTATGGAAGCCTGATAAACGTGAAAAAAAAACCCAAAAGCCTAAGAAACCTAAGGAAACTAAATAAAACCTAAGAAACCTAAAAAAATAAAAAGAATAATTTAAGATGGCCGAAATATTAGTTGTCGAAATAAGCGTTGGCCCAGTTGAGTGTAGGCCGAAGTGAGTCTCGGTCGAAATGTAACGTGGCCAAAATGATCGGTCGCGACACCGAACAGTAGTAGTAAGTGTCTGGATTATCCACTTAAATGTTCTCGCACTTCTATGGGTATGAGCTTCCTGTGGTACAGTATTGAATTATTTTTTTGCTTTTAGTGGAATCATTATACGATGATTCAGTGGTAGGAAACGGAACAGGCGATGTCACACTGCGCTGCCGACAGCGCTTCAGTCCTCCATTCCCGTTAATCTGGGCGTTTCCGAATCTTACTGATATTATACCAGAAAACTACAGGAAAGGAGACAACCGCGTTAGCGTCACTGCGTTAGAAAACGGCTCCGCGCTACATCTTCTAGCCGCCAACAGGAGCGGCGCAGTTTTGGGTGGATATTCTTGCCGCGTAAATACCACCGGCTCTAGCCTTCCTGCATATACGGTCTCTCAACTGAAGAGCATCTATAAAGTTGTGTTATATGAAGGTATTTCAACCGAACAATTTATTTAAGATGCGCTCTACTGTCGTTCGTCTTCGAAATGCTTTTAATTACACGTAGCTCTTTCTTTCACAGCGACACCGGATGTCAGGTTCGAAGGCTCGGAGAGTGTCATAAATGGACAGCCGTTTGTTTTGAAATGCATCATAGAGGGCTACAGCACTGATAGGATTCGATTCTTGAAGATTAATGAGACGACAAACAAGAAGATAACACTGTTGGATAGTCCGATCTCCACGTTAAAGCTGTGCGAAGACAGCACTGCGGAGTACTGCATTCGACGGATCCCAAGTTCGGCTTACAAGTTTAGCCGACAGAAAGTAAGACCGGAAGAAAATGGCCAGGGATTTGAAGTAGCAATCTCACTGCATATCAGCGAAATCAGGGATAAAGATCAGGTGATATGAATCTGCATAGCAGCGAGCAATGCAAAACTAGAGCATTTTTTCATCTAACTGGCTAGTATACGCGAATGCAGATGCCAGCAAAGGAAAATGCACAAGCCAGCCGGAAATCTGGTTCAATCTACAGCGGCTGCGCAGACATACCATATGTCTGGCTTTTGGATACACAGTAACTTGTGCAGGGAATAAGGTTTACATAACAACAGTTTTCCGGAAAACATCGAGGCGGTAATGTTTGCTGGCGCCCAGGGTTGCCTACGGAATGCGGACCTTGGTCCGCGCTAAACGGCAACGCAGTAGCTTGCATAATGTTGTACATGTGCACGAACAAGATGATGGATGTGCAGACTGCAGACGTACCGAAATACATTTCAAGGAAGTGCACTCGCTTTTTGACTGTGCGGCCGAAGCGGAGAGCAATTCCATGATAAATTCAGGTTACAAAACGCATTACATTTAAAACGCTTTAAACGCTTTAATAAGCATGGCAAGAACTGTTAATTATGAAAATCGTCCACAATCGAATGGAAAACCAGATAATATTACAGTATACGGTATACTGCCATATGTACTTATAAAGAAAACCAAGAAATTTGACAAGTCAGATAACAAAGTAGTTCAGGAAAGACCGAAATGGAAATGCCTCGATAAAAAGCCGGTCCTGTCCGACTTCATTATTGTACATTTCTTATTTCCGTAAGTCCTCCAAAAAGTCTTGCAAATACGGATGTCTCTCATAACAGTTACATTTCGGGACACTTGTAGCCGGCCACTTCGCGACAAATTCCACAACACGAACCGTTTCCGAAACAGGGCTTGGTATGGCCGGTTTGTTCAGAATAATAGTACTCGTACACCACAAACAGACAACACTCCAACGATCGTGTAAAGAGTTATGTACAACCACGCCAAGAGAAATATGCCGGTTTATCAAAGTCGGGTACATGTGCGAACACTTTTTGTATTGTTTGAGGCATTCTATAGCCAAATTTTGGGGCATTCTATAGCACGTACGTACAAGCGTCCCTGCCGGTCAAATCAGGTGGCTTGGGTTTGCCTAAAGCCGAAGAAATCGCTACGTCGGCCTATCTCTCTTCGCTCTATTCTACCGACGGGCTAGTACGCACTATTGTGCCCGAAGATTGCCCCGACGATCGGTCTGACGTTGAGTTGTGCTGGGAAGAACGTACAGGAAAGACTACACCTGCGATGGAAGACCGGAGTAACCAACGCTTGTGGTCGGATATGCTGACTGTCGGGAAACTGGAAGCCTTAAAAGAGAGTGCCGACGTTATTACCTCTGATCGTCTGTTGGCCGTCTCTGCTAAGGATGCCAGTGCCTGGCTGTTTGCGTTGCCGGTTGCCAGCCTTGGTACACTGATTGACGATGCCGGTCTGCGAAACGCTGTTGCTTCGCGGATGGGGGCTACTAATTGTAAAGAGCACAAATGTCGGTTCGGTGAAATGGTCGATACCTTCGGTTTGCATGGTTTATCGTGCTCAAAAAGTCAGGGAAGGTTCAGGAGGCATGCAAGTTTAAATAGCGTGATTCAGCGTAGCCTCGGATCAGCAAAGGTGCCGACAATCTTGGAGCCTCCGGGACTGAGCACATTGAACGGGAAGCGTCCAGACGGCTTATCACTCTTCCCATGGAGAAATGGCCTCCCCTCTGATATGGGATGTGACAGTTTGTGACACATTCGCTACTTCGTATATAGCTGGCTGTTCAGAAGCAGCGGGATCGGCTGCTGAAGACGCGGAAATGCGGAAGCGAAACCTCTGTTCCGAGCTTACTGATCGGCATTTTTTCCAGCCAGTGGCTCGAAACTATGGGAAGTTGTGGCGAAAGTACCCGCCAGTTCATCAAGGAAGTCGGCCGGCATTGCTAATTGAAATAAAAGTGCAAGATTTTATTTGGCAACATGAAAATCGACCCTCTGCAGTCTGCACTTATTAGACTACATGGCGCTGAATTGTTTATTAGAGGACGAATTGTTAAAGATTGAACACAAATCAGTACGTTGCAGTATTACTGCTGGAGCGTTGCGACAGTTATTAATAATCATTACACCGATTAACTTAATACTTTACTAAAAGGATTGGTTAAATAAGGTCTTTTTCTTAATAATATTATTAGAAAAGTCGTCTACAAATTAATTAGTGCATATGCTGCTGATATGCATGTAAAGCCATGCAATTGCGAGTGCAGTTTGTGCGTACGTGCGGTATATACCGTACGTTGTGACTTTGTACCTTGAAAACTAAAATTAATGATGTCCTTACTGCAATAACGTGTAATATCGTGCAGTAGCTTTTCGACTTTCCAATAAAAAAACCCAGCCCACAGAATACTGTTTAGGCTTGATGACGATTGTGTTCGGGCGTCGTGGACCATACATACATAAATCGGTGTTTACGTAACTACCGCCAGTTAAATCGTCGTCGTCCTGCATAGAAACAATTACCTGGTAGCAGAAAATAATTTCAGCAAGTTGTGTAGGCCTCACCAAATCGATAGAATAATTGTTCCAAAAATTAGACTAAAATTTGTTTACAACATCATCTCTGAAACTAAAAGGTCAGTGCTAGTAACGTAGAACTTGATGCAAACAGTCCATGACTGGCAATCCCAGCTTGACGGACATCGTTTGTAAAATTACATATAATATCAGACAGCTTTGTGGGTGGGTAAACGCTGTGTTGTGGTTGCCAATTATCCTGCAATGATTTTTCGCAATTCTCATTTATACAAGTATTTCTCAACTGCCTTGAGTATCGTTAAATGTGATTTGTTACTGCTCAAGAATTTTAGGCGCCATTTACATGTTTTGACTTCAGTAATCCACCAAAACAACGGTTTTGGAAAGGCGTAGTAGATTTAGTAGATAGTAGATTTACTACTTAGATATATAAGGGGAATTTACCTGCTGAGGCCAGCACTCCCTGTACTTGCTGCCGTCACCCGCCTGGAGTGTGACGTTACGGCAATACATACGGTTAAATCAGGCGCGGTACATAAGCACCATGTTTAGCCACAACGTAAAACTCCAGCCGGCTGACGGCAGCAAGTACAGGGAGTGCTGGCCTCAGCAGGTAAATTCCCCTTATATATACTTAGATTAAATTAACTGAATACTCAGTTTGTAATACAATTCGATTCGGAGCTGATTCGATTCGTCGGCCGGAAGATCCGCGAAGTAACCGGGGAACCTCGATCTACGGCCTTTTTGAGACAACGTTTGAGCCTGGCAGTAGTCAGAGGAAACGCAGCGGCCGTTTTGGGCACGCTGCGCGCTCGTAATGATACTAACGATTTTGGATGTTTTTTCAATGTTTAAAATTCAATCATTTTAATTAGTTTAAATTTGCGCAGGCTTCTTCTCATTGTATATACTTAGATATATTAAGAAAATGATCAATATTACGCGCGGCCTCCCCACAGTCTGGAGATCTCTCTAACCAAAAACTTTTAAAAAAATCTGATACCACAGTTAAATCGGCCGTGGTCCAGAACTGCGTCACATGACTTTTGTTTTTGAATACGTCCGATCAGAATCGTGCCGGCACGATGCCGCAAACGATCCACCCCAGTTTCAAGGTAACCTTGAAACTGGGGTGGATCGTTCAAGGTGACCTTGAAACTGGGGTGGATCGTTTGCGGCATCGTGCCGGCACGATTCTGGTGACCTTGAAACTTTGAAAAATCTTGCCTGGATACAATACGCAACATAAATTATTAATTACGCAAATTAAACGGAATAAATTGAGCTTATTTTCGTACAACACCTACCACAAAATTAAGTACTTAATCACAAGTTAGCCTATCGAGTTTCGTTGTCGGCACATTTGTAATATAATGGTTGGTCTTAACCACACGAACATCGGGCTGTTTGATTTTGACAGGACCACTCTTCTCAACAATTGCTAAAAGCAAAGAGCCGCATTTATTGTTTTAAGGTAAGTGAGTGGCCGAGATACCTTCACTGACCAGCGAGCGAAATCGCTAATTGAGTGCGTGTGTTACCGAGCTACTACTGCCGTCTAGTGAGCAAAATCGCTAATCGAGTGAGTGAAGCACCAAGCTACCACTGCTGTCCAGTGAGCAAAATCGCTAATTGACATAGTGAGTGACCGAGCTACCACCACTATCTAGTGCTCAAAACGCTACGTGAATGTGTAACCGAGCGGGCCCTGGATTACAAGAAACGCGGAGGCAAAGCCGCACCTGCTTCTTCTAAGCTAACGCTATATAACGCTAGCTAGCTTCTAAGACCAAGCTAACGCTGCTTTCCAGTGTACGGAACCCGTTAGGTGAACAAGTGACCGAGCTACCAGTACTGTCCAGTGTAAGGATTTGCCGAGCTACCACAACAGTCCAGTGCAGACAGTCCGCCAGGTGAACGAGTGACCGAACTACCACGACTGTTCTGTGCACAGAACCCACTAGGTGATCTAGTTACCGAGCTATCACTCCTTTCTAGTGGACAGAGCTCATTAGGTGACCGGGTGACCGAGATACCGGTAATGTCCCGCGTACGGAGCCCGCAAGGTAAGCGGGTGACATTACTGAGAAGCATCAGGTTGGAGTTCAGAGAAGCATGGATCCAATGGAGAGATTTAATACTGATCTGAGAGAATCTGTAATTATTACATAAAACCCGTGTTTTTGCGCTATTGCGATGTACCGATTATAGTGCCACGAAATATAGATGTGATACTATACTAATAAGTAAATATTCAATCGAAATCAAATAAAGTGGCCGTGAATCGCAAGAAACGCGGAGGCGAAGCCGATGCTGCTTCTTGTACTTATATATATGTTAGATATAATATAGTATAAGACTTGTATACGAATACTTTATATTCTGGAATGCCGATGGTCATATTAAACTGCATCTGGGTAATTTCTGCGTTACGATAACTTCATTACGATTTTGTGGCCACTTCTGAAATTTACTGCCGACTTCCCTAGACTGTTCATTGCGCTCTTCGCTTAAATTTTCCGGTTAACTTCCTGCTGATCAACTACGAAAGCGAATCGGTGGTGTGCTATGCTAATATCGTGCATTATAAAAATTCTAATACTACTTTGGCAGAATATGCTACTATAAAAATTATTCGTGGCTGATAATGCAGCTTCAATTAGTTTTGTATGGTTTTATGCTTTATTTCATAAGCTATAATTTTCGCTGTATTTAGCAACTCGTAAATTCTTTGGGCCTGCATGATATGCGCATCAACACCTAAAACTCAACTTATCATTGTAGGGAGAAGGCGACTGGTGCTTTTTACTTCGAGTTAGCGCTAACATGCTCTATTCTTTGCTACTCTACTGTTGCAATGCATGTGCGTTATTCAACTTACTGAACTTTGTTGCATAGGTTTACTGGTGTAGTCAATGCATATTACCGTATTATTATGCATAGGTCTGATTACGTGCGCGGATTACTTATTTATTATACATGGTAATAACAGTTGTAATC